AAAAACCAGTTGGAAAACCTGCCAATGGAGTGAGATAATTTCAGTTATTTGTGATTTAAATTTTTTCTTTTAATATTCTAGATTTAGAGTATTATACAACTGTTATTGCATGTTTTATCCAAACTTAACCAAAACATAATCAATACTTTAGATTACTTTTGATCATTTACATCATTGAATGTAGGGCTGCAGCTATCAAGTAATTTCTTAATAATTTTGTCTTTAAAATGTCAAAAAATAGTGAAAAATGCATGTGATCATTTCCCATAGCCCCAGATTACCTCTTCAAATTGCAAGTTTTGTCAAACCCACAGTCTAAAGCCCAAAAGTATTCAGTTTGCTGTCAAGTATGATGAAAAAAAAGCCCGAAATCATCACATTTTAGAAGCTGGATCCAGAAAATTTTTGTTGAAAAAATGACTGAAACAGGAGTTTTTTTCAAAATAATTACTGTCAGTCGACTATTTGATTAATCGACTCATCATTGCAGCTTGAATTGAATGTGTTTCAGAAAGCATTCGCTTTGAGGACGTCTTGCGTACTGTTGGATATCACACCCAGTTCTGACTTGGAACCTTGGGATTCATTAAGAAACAGATAACTATGTAGTGCAGTGTTTTTGACATGCACAAATAGAGCTATTGCTAACAATTATGGCTGGCACGTGATGCAGTAAAATATAATCTGTGTGAAAATAATTGCATGCATAGAGGAAGTCTGTCGTATGTCTCCAGTTATAGTTGTAATGCTTTATAATCAGGTAATACTAGAACAGCTTACTTTATTTTACTAACATGAATCACAAAATACCAAACCACTTGTTCTTGACAGCTTTGATCTGCTGAGAATAAATGTAGTTTATGCTTTAATTTGGTTTCTTTCTCCCACTTGAGTAATAATCTAAAAATCAGAAACCAGGATTTAAGAACAACCAGAAGAAGCAGAGTTGATTGAATCCAAATGACAGTAGTTTGGAGGGCTGAATTTGAAACTTGTCGAGAACATTTTCTTTTCAGCGTATTTGCCTTTGGCCTTTACATGATGTTCTGAAGAGTTTACGATGGTTTCCACTGCAATATTCATGCCATAATGACATAAACTTTTTGGACTGGCTCTCAGTAGTCCAGTTCATCGCAATGCTTTGCTTCATCATTGCACTGCAGAAAAGACATTTCCTTCACAAGTCTGTGAGCATGTGGTTCATTTGCTGTATGATTGTGAAGGTGCAGCAGGTGGCTCCTCTTACCAACAGACTGCACAGTTAAGCCAGCGTTCAAGCCTTAACGCCAAAATGAATCATTTGGTCGTTTTCTGTCTGTCTCACCTGAACCAGTGAGGCATCCAAATGAAAGGAGAGGGGAGAGATGTGTTGAGACTCAACACTGTTAATTACAGACATAACAGAGTCTCTCTCTGCATTTATAATTACTCCTTGCGTCTGTCTTCTCAGGCTCTTTCCCTGTGTGGTTTACATCTCAACCCCATCCCCCCTAATGACACCCCAGCACCGAAATAAACTATAAAAAGTGTCAACTGCTCTCTAACACTCCCTAATGGGATTCTTTTCCCAGCAGAAGGCAGGGTGTTTCAGGTAATGAAAGGTCCAGACCTCTGGCTGCAGCTGTCCCAGCACCAACCACCTAACACTGAACCACTCTGGGCTCATTAAGCTTTCTGACCTAACAACAACAGCTTCTATTGCATGTGTATCTCTCTGTATATGTTGCACAAGTTGTACATAGTGATGTGAAAGATGAATGATGGCAGAGAAGGATACAAGAAAGGTTGGGAGCTTTTGGCAATTTAATAATTTCTTTTGGCTGTATGGTTTGATTTGACACATTCCATCATTTCCCTCCTTCCTTATCCCACCTGAAATCCACCCCTAAGTTTTGTGCCTTTAGGGTGTGTGCCATATGGATCAATCTGCAATTTAGCAAAATTTCTGTCAGATTTCTTCATCACTTAGTAAACTAAAACAGGGGAGTGAAGGGAGATGTCAATGACACAGTCTGTACACGTCCAGTCCTGAAAGGAGGAGGTTTTCATCATGCCGATTAGCTGGACATGTTTGTGTGGGTTTAGAATAAACAAACAGTGCCATGGATACATCTTGGTGCCAGGTGATGGATAAGAAAAAGATTAGCCTCAAACAGGGTTGTGCTGGTAGTAGGTGGGAGCTGAATCACAGACTCCAGGTGCATTGGATGTGAGCAAGTGGATAACAAACCTACCCCAACTAAATATTGCAAAATAGGGTCAGTACAAAGCTGTAACTGCTGGAGCTACAAGAGTTAATCTCTATATAGTAAAATGTTAGTAGAGCGCAACATAAACACTACTACTGTTGGACTAATGCAGCTACTAGAGCTAATTTTAGATCATACTGAAATGCTTTCTCTGCTTCCTCTCTCTCCCTGCACCTCTCCCATCATTTCAGTAATTTCAGCCACATTTCTCCATCTTGGAAACTTTTCACTGTTTATTTTTATGCAGCCCAGCTTAAATGTGACCTATATTCCCTAATGGAGCGAAGTTAAAGGGGCAGTGTCACGGTTATTTGAAGGGATATTGTTTGAATGTTTAGTGCCGCACGAGGACAAGGCCGCTCTGTCTGTATTACTATTCCTGCGCGTGGGTGCGTTTGTTTATGAATGGGTGAGTATTCGTTTGTGTATGGATGGCTGCAGGATCAGTAAGTGCATGAACACACCTTTTTGTGCAGTGGCTTTCAGTTGTTTTACTCTTAGCCTTGAGTTTATTTTCAAATACAAATGTGGATATGGTTCCTTTATTGACTCTAGAATCAGCTGACTCTTAGTCCCTTTTTATTTAATCACTGAATCACTATTAATCTTGTATTAATCCTGTTCTTTTGTTGTACTTACTGCAGACAAATCTTCAGGTTCCTCTGTTTAATGGCTTTTGTTGTGTTTTAAATAAGCATTTCTCTTGTATCTTTATATGTTCAAATCTCACATCAGTTCACAGTTTAGTTTCAAAACATCAGCAGTTCTTTATTTGTCATGCACTCCTGTTATTTTACCCACCGTCTGTATGCCTACCTTCTGTGTGTGTTTGTGCTTAACTCCATGTGGTTTCATTAGACAGCTGCGTGTGTCCCAGACTTACACCACAGACACACTTGATCTCCCAAGCAAAGTCACACATACACACTGAGATAATGCATGTGTGAAGGTGTGAGTGGTACTTGTTTGCAAAGAATATTGCAGAACATACCAAGGATTCCCATACTCCTGCAGTACATCGTGTACAAACTGGCTTGTTTCTGGTTACTCTATTTCATCGCCATGCCTCTCCTTCTGCAGTGATGGACATGACTACAAGCACTGCAGTTTTCATGTTTGCATGCATTTAAAATGATGAAGCCAAGAAAACAAAAGCCAAACACACAATTGTAGCAAACCAATCCTATCTGTAAATATGAAAAAATGTTAACTTCCCTGCTCATTACAGATAATTGGCTTCTGATTACAACAGGACACATTTACCTATCAAAATAAAAGTATACACAAATCGTTTTAAAACCATTTGCTCTGTTGCAGCTAAAATAACAATGAAGGAAATATTATAGTGTCATACATAAGTACTGGTAAGTATCATGCAGGGGGTTTATCAGAGCTGCCTGCTGTTTGATGAGAGTGGAGTATGTGAGGATGGAAAACCCAGAACAATGAACCGAAAGAGGGTGAAATGCTTCATAGAGCTGAGAGGAACTGTGGAGTCGGATGAGTTCTTTGTTGGTTCATCACCACAAGTGACCCCTTTCACATTACACATGTGATCCATTGTTGAAAAAATATTGAAGTTAGGTCTGTATTTATTATCTCAGCGCTGTCTTCATTGTTGCTACTGGACTGATTTAATCTGCTGTGACACACTGGCAGAACTGAAGCTAATTTCCAGGAATAAAACATGTAAATCAATTTTGTATTTGTTGTTAATCAAATCGAAGTTATTTCTGTCACTGTGTCTGTGTGAGGAGCCTCCAAGCACAGTTTACTTGTGTAGTAATAGGTTCCAACCTATCCATGTGTGTGTGTGTGTGTGTGTGTGTGTGTGTTTGTGTGTGTGTGTGTATGCTTTTATACTGCTTTGTGCATGTTTGTTTAAGAGAAGGGTGACTCATATTGTGTGTGTATGTGTTTGTGTGCGTGTAAACCAGTGAAATCAGAGCACCATGCTGTCCCAGGCTTCCAGAACAACGTCTCTCAGCTCAGTGACTCATTCATCCTCACTAAGGATGAATCTATCAATGCTGTTTCCCACTCACTGACTCTCCATGCCATTAACACAGTCTAGATTGTCTAGTTTTCTGACACTTTATAGACAAAACAACCAATTGATTGATTAAGAAAAGAATTGGCAGATTAATTATTGATAGAAAATAAGTATTAGTTGTAAGTAAGTATCTTTTTCCAGGTCTTAAGATTTCATATTAACAGTCGCAGAAATCTCAGCATTTATCCTTTACACTTGCAGATTATTACACCCACAAATGCAAACTGTAGAAAGTTAGCATGCTATGTTAGCATTAGAGTTGAAAGTATGGTTGATAGGAATATATTTATAAGCTCTAGTTCCCGGACACTCCAAGCTGAATAACTGCAAGGCAAGGCAAGGCACCTCACGTGTCCTCGCTGCCCTGTGGAAATCATGTATCTCCGGTCATTTGTCAATAGCTAAGAAGATGATGCATTTTTAAAACATAATCCTATTGTTTTTTTTTTATCTTAAGTACCCACAAAGGTAAACATAATCTTTCAGTTTATATGAAAAATTCTAAATCACTAAGTTTGGAGACACATGGTTTTCATTAGATGCTGAATTGTTGCACAGACTGTACAAATTTACCAGCTATATCCAATGTACCACAGCATATTTCTTTATTTGGAGTGGCAACTAACTAAAGAAAACAATTTCCCATTTTATTGCATAAAATAACTATTTTTGTCTCCATGTGTCCTCATGTGTTCCAGCCTTTCTCAGGTGATCAGATGGACGACTTCAGCAGTGAATTATTCAACAGTTTCTTTGACGACCATCTATTAGAGCGACCCCTGCTGGCAGACAGACCTTCCCTTTTACACATGGACATAGACAGCAGTCCAGGTCAGCTCCTCTTTTATTATGAAAAATTATCATTACAAGAACACACATGCCGTGTACAGTTCTCCACAGTTCCTCACAGTATTGAAATGCAAGAACACACTGGGATTTGTGCAGAAAATGAATGTATGTAATGCCTAACAGTGCAATCCAATACAAATGCACCAGGGGGTTGGAGCACAGCGGTTGATTCCTCTGAATTCCTAATTTTTTCCATTATTAAAATCTCACAGCAGGTAAAAGAAGTGGGTTGGTGGAACTCTTTCCAATGCCCGACCACTGTCTTGAAGTTGCTTGCTTTGAAATGCTGAGTTTTCTTCTGCTCCACTCATAGTCACATGTAGATGACCTTCTTTGTTTCCTTGACGAACCTCCAACAGTGCAGCAGCCAGTTGTTCCACTCCTCAGCCAAAGTCTGGGTAGGAAAGACCCCAGTCCCATTATTTGGTTTAATTCGAAAGCCAACACTCTGTGCACGAAGACCAACTGTATCAAGTTGTTACTTCTCAACCACTGAAATCAAACCGTCTCGGCCTTCCCCAGAGTCAAATTCCATGATCTGAGAGCCAGTTTCTGCGGCCAAAGTCTGAGACTTCCAAAACTCCTGCCTCTTAACCAGCAGGAAACACATTGGACTTTTATCCCTCACCTAGCAGGTGCTGGCTCTGTGAAGAGGAGGCCCTAAGCTGTTGGTTCAGGCTTCCGCCGGCTGAGCTACCACAAGGCACTCACTTGCAAAATAAACTCCCAGACCTGCATGAATGGGTCCTGGTATCCCTGCTCAGAGTTAATGTAGGTTCTCTCAGTCTGTTGAAGCTGTCAGAAGGATGTAGCACTACTTGTCAGACTCGTCACTTGAGACAAATCATTGGTGTCGTGATCACTAGAGTGGCTGAGGCCTCCACGGTGAGATGGCTATGATTGTAGGAAGCAGTAAAAACATTTTGACGGACGTGTTTTGAAAGATGTTGAATTTATAGATTCATAACTGTCGCATCCACCTCTTAACGTAAATGTGAGGGTGATCTAAATGTTGGCCTCATGTCTAAAAAAGCCACAAGTCAATTTAATGTAAAAGTCAATCTAACTGGGTTGAGCATTTTAACATTAACAACAAGTCTGAATTGAAATCCTTCAAATTAATATTGATATACCTTGTGCCGCAGCAGCACAAGGTTAAATATGCATAGAGAGAGCTTAAATGCATCTCTTTTTAAGAGCACCACAATAACTTTAGTACCAAATTATCATCTCATATGCATAAGGAAAATAAAATTATGAGAGTCCCAACTTAACAGCTTGTCATCATAGGTCTGTGCACTGTTTGACATTGTAAAACAGACATCAGATTTTGCTATCTAAATGGAAAAATACATAATAAAACCCATCACTTATGGAGCCCGTGAGAGAACTTGGAGCGCTCTTCTTCCTTCATATCATTGCTCTTAAACTCAACGCTGTGCTCCACCTGTTATACCGCTCCCTCTTCCCAGTCCCAGATAACACAGTATTGCAAAGCGGCAATAAACATGTACATAACTGGCACCTATATCTGAATGACAAACAGCCATTATTTTAACAGGTAGATGAAACCAGTGTATTGTACATATTCCATGTCTGAAAAAGGCTTTTGAATCTGTCAGATATTCAAGCAGAGCACAGCTACTCTTTGAGTGAAGACTCCGCCCCCCAGAGCCCAGCGCTGTCAATCAAAATGGACCAAGAGTCTGGTAGGTCACTTGATATTTTCATATTTTCTTCTTAGTTATCTTAGTTTATGCTTCCTGGAAAATCTGCTGCTGATGTTTAGTCTGGTTCTTTATCATGCCGGTTATCAGGTTGGCTCAGGTTCCTCTCTGATGAAATGCTTAACATGCAGTCTGACCCTGCTGTCTGTCGTACAGTACACACTCTGATTGGCTGAATCCACTGTCTGTCATGTAATATGTGTGATGATTGGCTTAATCTGTTGTCTGTTATGTTGTGTGTAGGAGCAGTGCCTCATAAAAACACTGTGTATTTCAAACCCTGCTCTGTTCGTCTTTGTCTTTCTGCCTTTCTCAGTCTTTGTGACTCATCTTCCCCATTATCCCCTGCTGTCTTCCTCTCCTTCTCTGTCTGTACCTGACTGTCTCACTCTGTCTGTCTGTCTGCTGTCCTTTCTCCGTTTGTCCCGGGGATCCTGCTGCTCACAGCAGGATCCCAGTCTGAGCAGTTTTCCTCCAGCTAAGCCCTGCCCACCTAACACACACACACAGACTCACACACACATACACACACACACACACACACACACACACACACACAGGCTCACACAACACTATGACAAGCATATGGTTTTGAGTCTGCAGCTTTAGCCGAAGCCAGCGGAAACTCTCTCTCTCTCTCTCTCTCTCTCTCTCTCTCGCTCTCTCTCTCTCTCTCTCTCTCTCTCTCTCTCTCTCTCTCTCTCTCTCTCTCTCTCTCTCTCTCTTCTGTCAGGTTATCTTTCTCACTTTCTCTCCCTGTCTCTATCTGACTCTCCTGTTTTCTATCTTTCTCTGTCTCCCTTAATCCAATTAAATCCTACTTTATTGGTATGAATATCAGATTATCTGTATTGCCAAAACCGCACATTGAGCAAAAGGAGTGTAATTCACATTTAAAAAAAAAACAACTGTTTGATGTATGCGTTGCCAGTGCGTGCATGTGTTTAGCTTAGTACTGTGAAATGGAATATTTCTGCAGATAATAATTAGCTTCAGGAGAAAATAAGATCCAGGTTGTAAATCAATCTCAGATAGAGTTAGAGTCACTCCAATCATGTATGCTTTGGTTAGAATGTAAATTTACTGAAGCCAAAGGAAGCAGAAAGTTATGTAGATTAAAATGCCATTAAAATGATATATTACTTAATAAAATAAAGCATTCAAACTTTGCTTCAAATTCAAGCTTTGATTTCAGGCTATTTATAAGGTATATATTACTTTCGTGTGTTTCCATCTGTAGTTGTGTAACTGTCAACTCAAGCTCACATATGGAACACATACACACACATACACACACATACACACACAAACACACACATGCACACACACATGCAGACAGAAAAGCACATATCATTTGCATTTGAATCTATTCCAGTCTATTTATTATTGAACTTCATCCAAACTTCATTTTTACAACCTGCATCTGCTCCATAAATCCTGAGCATAAACTTTGTGGTACTTACTTTCCAACAGTTTAACATCTCTACCTTGCTGTATATCAACTGCGCAAATTATATACACTACGGCTCACAAGTTTTAGACACCTCAGTTTTTCCACATGTTATTGAAATGCACATAGTTTAATACCTCAGTATCTCTGATTTTGAATCCCAACAATGTTGCAGAAGTTCCCATTAATGTGTTGCACTTGTCAGCCTTGCTTTCACCTTGTGTTCAGTTCATCTTAAACCAGCTCCATGGGGTGTAATTCTAGACACTGTGCTGCTCTTCATCATGTGAAGCCACCACCTGGTTCTTTTTGGCTCATTATCTTGCTGTAGTAAGAAGCTCTGACGAACCAGTCTGGCCTGATACTTTCTGATAGTTTTTTTCACACCATTCTGATAGTGATAGATAGGACTACTTCCTGCAGTACAGTACTGTCCGAATGATGCATCAGTTTGTTCCAACACTGCCTTCGTACAGACAGAGGATTTGTAAGTCATCAACCTGTAGGAACTGTTTGCTTTAACTTTCAAGGCTTGATTTACGTCCATTGCTGCTGGAAAGTTGTAAATTAACCAGTTTCTTAATTCCTGAAAAAGGGATTTTTACTTTGTGCAGTTTACCGCTACCATTTAATATTCTGATTTTTTTTTTTTCACTCTTTTATACTTGAACAAATATTTTGTGCCACAGCTGAACTGTTATTTGCCATTTTGGCATCTAAATTATTTTGACTAGGCTGCTGCAGCTGCTCCATAATAATAGTGAATCATTTCAAGGGTGGACTTCAGCATGTTGTTCTTTAGTTTTTTGGTACTGTTTGTGGCATTTGGGGAAGGTGATTTTGTTTCAGCATATACACAATAAATGTGAACACAAAAGCACATACTGAAAGTCCCTGATTCTCACAAGCATTTTTTCCAGGAAATGGCAGAAGGTTCTGGCAAGATTTTCTCATAAATTCTGTAAATTCTTCATCGGTATTCAACTCTAATCTCAGATGAAGCTCAGTGCAGAGAAGAGACTCTCTCCCTGCACTTTGTGCCTTTTTCCAGGCGCTCTCAGCATCCACTGAGAGCACAGCAGTAAGAGCAGCAGTTAGTTTATCATGATGTTTCATGATGATGCCGTTTAATTAACCACCTAGGGATGTTAGAAGTTGTTGACCTTTCAGAAACAAAATTAATCAGTGGGTCTTTCTCTGTTTAAGGTCCTGCCCAAGTAGAATTACAAGGTTCGTAGATCAGAAAAGCAGAAGTTCAGATCTCATAACTGATCACAGATAAAATTTGGATCATTAAATATTCTTCCAGGAAGCTGCCAGATAAGAGACCCTACAAAATCTCCCACTTTGACCACAGTGCTCAAATATCTCCCATGATGCAGTGTTTGAATTACAGAGGAACCACAAGGGTCTAAAGTCGCTTTTTGGCTGGAAAAAATAATAATGGTTTATTTTATTGATCATAACATTGTCACACTCCTATAATAGTTGATATGACATGAAAATAAATCAAACTATAGCCCATGTGTTCACCCGTGGCCAGATGAAGCTCACTGTAGATCCCAACTATTATTAACTTTTAAATGATGATGAATCACACCTTTACTGCACCATGTGAGCACGTTATAATACGGAGTTGATATTGTACAAACTGGACAACACAACAAGCCAATACATTTCACAGTAGCTTAGCATTTAAATCTGTCGGTTTGTGTGTTTTATGGCACTCACCAGACACATTCATATACAGGATCATCGATACTTAAGAAGTTTAGCAAGTTTTAGCTTTCCTGTGTTTGTCTTACCCTCTCTCTCTTTCTCTCTCTCTGTCTGTGGTCTCGTTGCTCTTATACAGTCAAAGAGAAGCTGTGTATTTTACTACAGCTCCTACTGTGCGGCTCCATCTATTGTTTTAATACAGCTGCTGTCCCACAGAGATCAAACACAGTCACCACCTCTCCTCTGTGGCGACTGCCAGGAGCCTCTGGTCATTAACCACTGCTCCATCAGAGGATTTCTTACCTGAGTTTACAAGATTTTACCCACACACACAGACTTTCTTTTATTTTTTCTGTTAATACAGCGTCCAAAGAGATTCCATTAAATGGTAACTGAGAGGATCAGGTTTTACTTTTATTACTTCCACTCACAGCATCCCCCACTCTCTATCTCCTGTTCTGTATGTGGGATGCAACACATTATATCAACAGTCCCTTCATTATTTGGAAAATGTCCTCTGATGGGCCAAGGCTCAAAATTATAAGACAATTTTGATCATGTTGGAATCATCAGGTCCTTAATATTATCTCTATTCATGTTGTAAGTATGAACAGAATATTTTTTTTAACTCAAACCTCCCCTGTGACAGTGTCAAAAGATGTGTCACTTGGTCTCTGATGATCGGTTTTCCTTTGCATTGGCTAACAGCGAACAGCTTCTGTTATCCATTAAAAGCCTTGTAGAAGGCTTCCAATCAAGCCCTGGCTTAACGAGAGCATGAGGCTTAACGAGGCTGAGGTTAGCAGCAGGGCCGGCCTCATTAGGAGAGACCTCTGAGGGTCTGACTTCTACAGTGGATATACAGAATAAGTAAACGGTGCATCCACCCAAAAACTGAATCCATTTGTTTCTCCTAATCTCTCCTGTCAATGAGTCGCCAGGCTGATCGGTGACATTATTAAAAATGACACATTGGAGGTAGCAGTGAGGGCCGTACTAATAAATCATTCAATTTATGGAAAGATTTGAACAAAAATTTTGATATTACAAAACAGGTATTGATGAGCTGGTTGGAGTTAACACCACACCTGAGAGCCTGATATGTCTAATTTGATAATGATAGTGACATGTCACTGCACATAATTACTTTATTAGGTGCAGCTGTGTTTTCCGTGCTATGGCAGCACTGTGTCCCTTCAACTTAACACGTTACACCCACTGATACACAGCTTCCTCTGTGTGTCCTGTGTTTTTCTCAAATTGTCAAATGTTTTTCTCACAATTTTCAGGCATTTTATAAAACAAACAATGAACTATTAGAGTGAAAATAATCAGCCGATAAATGGAGAGAAGAAATAATTATTAGCTGCAGCCACACTATACCTACCTTACCTGACTCTAGGGATATACCGCATGTTGCTGATGTAATGACACTAACATGTGCCGCCTTGCTGATTCATTAGCACTCCAGTGTTCTGAAATCCAGCTCATTATGTACTCTGCTGATCTAGAACAGAGCTGAAACCACAGTATAAATAATAATGATTTTGGTAACACTCAGACTTTCCCTCCAGAGCCTCCGCCAGGTCAGAGTTTCCTCTTCACCAACATTTTGGTTCGTGTCAGGCTATCTGAAAACCTAAAGACCACCCTGATATTTGTGGTGACCCCCTGACCTTCCCTCTAGTGCGAACATCAGTTCAAAATGTCGACTTCTCTGCAAGTCCTGACAGACCTTTTTCACAGCAGACATTTCGACTTATCAGAGCAGGGAAAGAGCAGGTGAAACAAATGTCAACGGTGGCTCAGTGCCATCAAGTATCCCGGCAAGGCATGACAGTGAGTCAGCATGCACAGTGCCAGCACAAGCTCATCTAAATGGAAATGGGAAAAGGGAATGCAGTTGTTTTTAATGTTATCAATCACTCTTGTGGTTTTCCTGCTATGCCATGCCAAAACGTCTGCTCTGAAAATATTTATCCAATAGGATAATGGGCAGGTTACCATGAAGTTTACTGATCAGTATGAACAGTACATGTTCATGTTTGTGGCCGTTTTGCTCTAAAATGAACTCAAAATCTGAATTTAATTAGAACCAGTTCAGCTGATACTAATAAACATCTCTATTGGCTCAGATACTGATCTTGCAAATCAACTCAAGACTTCTCTCATAACCAGCCAAATGGTTATTTTTTGACAATCTTGAGGTCAGAGTTTATTTCTGATATTGAGTCCACAGATTACAGTGTTGAGCTTGAAACTTATTGGCTTTAGGTTTGTCTAAACCAGCAGAAAGAGGCCGCAGAGATTTGTTTTTAGGATGGATCCTCTGCTGTAGTGATGGACAGGATACCAGCTCTCTGATGGGCACACACCTCCATCCCCCTCTGCTTCTGCCCAACACACACACGCGCATGCACACACACACACACACACACACACACACACACACACACACACACACACACACACACACACACACACACACACACACACACACGGCTTGTAAACTTCAGAGCATTTTACCAGCAAAATGTTGCTAGGAAACCAGGAGGTGATTAAAATGACGTTCACTCCCAACACACACACACACACACACACACACACACACACACACACACACACACACACACACACAGCAGCCCTTGTCTTGTTAAACTACTACTGCTCTCTTTCCATACACCATGGGAGCCTTTTAGGTGAATGTGTGTGCTGTGACAAACATCAAAGTGTCTCACCTGGTGTTTTATTCCAAAGAGAAAATGCTGACTTGATAAAACATCACACACCCCTCCTTCTCAACCTGAAGTTACCTTTTAGTTCCTGGTTACCTCTAAAAAGTTTCATCGTTTCACTTTTGAATTTAAAGTCAAAGTTGAAACAAAACACTCATATCGACTGTTAGTTGGACTTTTGCCTAATGAGGCTTCCTTGGAACAGTGCCTAATCACTTCACCTTTAAAAGGGTCTTAATTGAAAACACACATTGTGAACGTTCAGCTCCGGTGGGGTGAACAAGCACTGTGCAAATAGAACATTATTTTGCAGAGAAGATATGTATAAAAATGTGTGTCAAAGACATGAACGTAATTCCTATTTGATGTAATGGTGCAGACACAAAAACATTATATAGTAGAAAGAAAAAGAAACGGTCAGAACTGATGTCACGGAGGTCAAGGCATCCTGAGTTTTAGTCCTGTAGCACAGGTTAAGCTCCATCTGCAGCTGGATAGTATATTTCTTTAGACCCTGTCTGCCTGGTAAATGCCCACAACTCTACACCTCCATTTAATAACACTTTAAACTTGTCTCAAATCCCTGATGATATCACTACGCCATCATTAGGGAAGTTCCCCTTGAGCCACAGGTGGTATTATACACCAGTCTTTGCAGGCTTAGTAGTACTCCCCATGACTAGTAAACCACTTCTTCATGTGTAAAAATTGATAGAAGGCTCCTTTAAATCCACCTAATGAGAAACCTGATGGAAAGATCAGAGATGACCCGTCAGAGAAAGGCCACCTAGTCTGTTAACTCTGGATTATATAACGCTATGGACTGCAGCATCTGGATTCTGTCCCTCAGAGAGAAATTAAGTTAGCTGGATAGTGTGCAGAGTAAAATCTGGAAACGACCAAATCTGGGGCATGAACAGAAAAACAGCTGTTCCAGGCTTTCCTCAGTGCAGTTATCCAGCTAACTCGGTAATCTTGTTTTTTGAGGCATCCTCGAGGAGACTCTTCCCAGTGGGAAGAATTTCTTCAGGCCCTCTCGGAGTGGAATAATATCCTATAATGTTAGAGAGAAGTCCAATGGTGGTTGCAAGAGGTTCTCACATGGGTTACCAAGCTGTGTGGGAGTCAAGGCTGCCCTTTACCCACTGTAGGGAATTTTGGAAAAGTCAACAGGACAGTGAAGTCTAAATATAATATAATCTCTTAAATACAGTGCATTCAGAAAGAATTCAGAGCCCTTCACTTTTTTCATATTGTGTTATGTTGCAGCCCTATGATAAAACTGTATAAACTCATGTTTTCCCTCATCAGTCTACACTCAGTACCCCATAATGATAATAATCATTTATTAAAAAGGAAAAAGTGAATTATCACATTGACATAAGTATTCAGACAGTTTGCTATGAAGTTTAGCTCAGGTGCCTCCATTTTCTCTTGATCATCTTTAAGATGTTTCTGCACCTTGACTGTCCAGTCCACCTGGGGTCAATCCAGATGACTGGACATGATTTGGAAAGGCACACATACCTGCCTGTATGAGCAAAACCCAATCTACGAGGTGGAAGGAGCTGCTGGAAGGAGCTGCCTGTAGAGCCCAGAGACTGGAGCCTAAAAAACCTCCAGAAGGAGAACCATCACTGCAGTGCTCCACTTATCTCGGCTCTATGGCAGATTAACCAGACGGAAGCCTCTCCTCAGTGAAGGTCTGCATAAAAAAAAAAAAGCACCTAAAGGAGTCTCAGACTGTGAGACGCAAGATTGTCTGATCTGATGAAACCAAAATTGAACTGTCGGGGCCTCAATTTAAGTGCCATGTCTGCTGAGCTTGAGCTTGAGAGGATCTGCAGAGAGGAATGGCAGAAAATCCTCAAATCTAGGTGTGCAAAGTTTGTTGAGTCACAACCAAGAAGACTGGAGGCTGTAATCGCTGCCAAAGGTGCTGCAACTACTGAGTAAAGGGTCTGAAAGGTTATTGTGAATATAAACATGCTAAATATTAGCCTCACACCAATTTCATATTCTATTTATGTTTATATTCCTCCCAAGCACTAATATACGGATGGATAATATTCATTTTATTATTATATATTTATTAATGTGTTTTCATATTAGCTGAGCTGCTTTATTGGTTGGGAATCACTGGATGACAGTCATTGTAGTTCCCTATTGTTCATTTTGTTTGATAAACATAAATTTTCTGCACTTCACATGTGTTTTTGCTGAAGAATTGTGATGATGCTCCACAAGAAACATCTGTCCCTCCCAGAGTTCATTTCAGAAGCTGGCAGGGAGGACCAGAGCCTCCTCATTATCCTGCCCACTAGGACAACAAATACACCAGGAGTGCCAGTGACTAGCTTTTCTGCAGCCGTGCAGAGACACTTATATCCCTAAAAATACTTTCTGCAGGTCACGGCAGACTAAACACTGGAGTACCTGTCACATGCTTCTAGAAATATATCCTCATTGTGTTTTGGTGAACCTCCTTTGAAATTGTACTCTCAGCCCATTGTTGTCACTCAATTATGCATATTTTCGACAGTGTTTAAAGGCTGCAACTGTTTCTTTTCTGAGGAGGGATACTGAAGACGAGTTGCCGGTTCACCCTGTCTTTTTATTTCAGGGTAGATACACACTCACAGGAGTCAAATTATGCACCACAGTTGCCAGAGTGACTTCGTCCAGCAGTCTGTAATAACCAGCCTGGTCAGGAAGTGCTCAAATGTTTTGGGAAAGCTCTTTGAAAGTGTGATTTATAATCTACCAGTTACTTCCCATTGGAAGACCTACAGCAAAGCCTCCCTGAAGAGAAATACAGTTGTTTACTAAATTTGCTACAAAAATTTAAGCACAAGTATAAGGAAACTTTACAGAGATGTGATTTTCATGATGGCAGATGACTTTACATTATTGGGGTTAGTTAGTAGTAGTAGTAGTTTTAAAACATAGGCCTACTCTCACAGGTATTTTAAATATAGAGATTCAGCACAGACCTACAAAATGATACAGTTTGCCCATCGCCACATGGACACATTTCAATGTACATGTGGACATTTATTGTGATATTCTGTCTTTTCCTTAGAGTTTGAATGGAGCTTCAGTCAGGACCTGTCAGCCATCTTGGTGAAACAGGAGGAACCTGATGTGGTCCAAAGGTTAGATCCTCAGCCTCTGGAAGGCCCGCCCCTCATATTAAGCCCAGCCCCCCCACACAGAGGATCGGCTTGGAAACACACGGTTAGCATCCACCACACCACAATGAAAAACTTTGTATAATGTTGTTGATTTTCTCTGCTCCACTCAGAGGCGACGTTCATCAGCATCACTGCTGTTTGTGTTTCTGTGTGTGTTTGTTGTTGCTGCAGGAGCACAGTCAAGATGATATGAAGCCAGTGGCTATAAAAGATGAACCCAGAGAGATTGGACAGTATCTCAGCCTGCCCAGCGGTACATGCAGCAGACAGATGCACAAACACACCCACATGTTACACTGGCATCACAGTTCAATTCTGCAAAATTGATCAATATAGGAAGTGACACAAATGTATCTAATCACCACAGTCTCTTCCATCTTTTCAAGAAAACATGATCCAAACATTCAGATGTGTTTTTGTATATCCTCAGTTTAAAATAGAAGCACTCATTCAACACTGTCCTCTTCTGTAGACGACGCTCTCCAGCTCCCGCCCACCCCTCCCAGCAGTAACCACGGCGACAGTGACGGCTCCCTGCCTCCCTCCTCCCCACACCTCCCTCTGCCCCCGTCTTCCCCTCAACCACAACAGAGACCAGGAGGTCGCGCCTCTTCCTCCTCCTCATCCTCTTCCTCCGCCATCTCCTCTTCACCTCTCCTCACTGCACCACATGTGAGTAAAAGAACGTAATGCTCACTCAGGGATTATATGAAAGTCATTAGAGCTACCGCCTGTGGGTGCTTATTCACTGAGACACTATTGTTCATTTAATGGCTCATGGTTCACGAATAGAGAACAGCAGATATGCTTGGTAAACATTTGACGTTTACTATAATTTTGGCAATTACAAATTCCACCTCTAATGTGCATTGTGCAAAAATTGTTGCTCCATTAACATATTATGCTTGAAATCCAGGCTGGGTTGAGATAAGAGTATAGATTTTGTTATAGTTACAAATTATTTGACTATACTGTGTATTGTGACAGAGATGTACTTTATATTACCTTTGTTATCTTGTCTGCCACTGTGAATATAGAGAATTAGTTTCGTCCTAACTTCAGATACTGTATCGTTGGGATACAACTGTGGTTTTAGGGTTAAATCAGTCCAAGTATTTGCCTACAAAATTCAGTCAAAATCTGAATATTCAGTGTCTGACCATTGTCGGTCTGATTCAGCTTTTTTCCGAGCAAATGATTCACATTTGGACTCATGTCATAATGTTATTTCTTAAATGTTTATACAGGATTGCTCAATGTCAGCAAAGAAATGTGAACAGCTGAACTGCTGTAAAAAAAAACAAAAAAACAGCACAAATGTTAAAGGATTGTTCTTGTGCCATGATGCAACAGGATCCTGTTTTTGGTGTTATTCAACAATGACATCCATAAATGAAGGGACAAAGAAGTTTGAGAGTTTCAGTTTGTTGTAAACAGATAAACGCTGACGCCGTCTGTCATAGCATCAGGTTTCAGTATTTTTCCTCATTTATCTCTTTTCTCAGAGAAGAGCGAGTGTGTTTGAATGCATGCTGACGTGGGTAATCAGACACAGAACCTTTTGAGAATTTGGTGAATCAGTTTAACTCTTCATGTAGACGAAAACGTGATGAGTCAGTCCCATGCAGGGTTTATTTGAAGATAAATTGTTGTTGCGTGGTTGTTGAAGTGTGTGTTCCATTGTGCAGAAGTTGCAGGGTTCAGGACCCCTCATGCTGACAGAAGAAGAGAAGAGGACCCTGGTTGCTGAGGGTTACCCAGTACCCAACAAACTTCCTCTCACCAAGAGTGAAGAGAAGGCACTGAAGAGAGTCAGACGGAAGATTAAAAATAAGGTAAACACAGCACCTTTTATTCTGTTCATGTTCACAGCAGCACTGAACATCTGATTGAATAAAAGCTATTCACAGAATGATTCTGACTGACTGGGGGGGGGCATTACTCAGAATCAAATGGTGATGCTAAAACAGAAATAGTTACTGAAATAGTCTCATGATGTCAAACATTTCCTGCAGCTGCTCTGTAGCTCCACCTGAAGAAATTAATTAGGGTGCCTAATTCTCAAAAAAAAGAAGATAATGTTTGTCTGTTTTTCTTCCCAGATCTCAGCTCAGGAGAGTCGGAGGAAGAAGAAAGAGTATGTGGAATGTCTGGAGAAGAAGTAAGGCTTGGAAAAAATCTTTGCCTTTATTTTTCCGTTCCTTTTCCACTCCTCTTTGGTTTACCTTTGTATCTGTCTGTCATTTTGTGACTTCCAAACACTTTTTTTCTCATTATAGTCCCCTCAAATGGTATTAAAGTTACCATACTACAATATCTCATGGCCACTATTAAAATCAGAAATTCTGTGTTTAGTGTTTGCACCAGTTTTACTAAATTGATCTTTAATTAATCCAAAACTAAAAACTGAATCAATTGTAATTTTTGAATTTGGTGAACAGATGTTTGTGGCACAGTGACAGAATCTTTAAGGATAATTCTGGTGTTATTCTATGTTTTTCTTTTGTCAACAAAGAAAATACCAAAACCAATGACGTTTTAAGGCGTCAGTTTGCTTCATATAACCAGGGTTGTACAATATGTCGATGAAGTCAGACAGTCAGATGACCCCTCTTTTTGAAGCATCTGAATCTTTCTCTCAAAACTTTTTGACTTCCCTACCCTGTCCTTTTTAGCAAAGGTTGTGCAAACAGGAGTAAATAGTGCACTGATTAGGGACTATTTTAATACGTGAATTGATACACACTTTGTGCTCCAGAGTATTTACAGCAGCAGGACAGTACATGTATGTATGTGTGTGTTCATGTGATCAGTGTGGATCATTGATGTGCTTTTAGTAGTTGTAGGACAATAAGGAGGTTTGTGAGAATTGAATCAGAACCAAATCATGCCAGTTACATAGCGATGTCAATGCAGTGAATGAATAACTTTTTCTTCCATTTCTCCGAGCTGTTTTAACAATGTATTTTAGAGTATTGTCTTTGGTCCAGAAGGCAGCCATGTTGGTCAGTGAGGTTTTCCATGAGTTGAATCTAACCATAGGCCTTTTTATACATAATTGTGTGCTCTTTATGTACATGACCAGCACAGAGAATGAAAAATGCAACTGGCAAAGAGAGAAAAGACAGAATTGTGTAATGCTGAAGTGAACTTGGCAGTTGAAGTTCAGTTAAGATGCCGTTTTTGTATTTAGAGGTTTTCCCAACTGGTTCAGAGCTGAGTGCGGTAACAGACGCTAGAGCTCTGCTGGGGATTACACTGGGGGCAGCACACCCACAAACGCACAGGTTATAGCGGGGTTAGATTTCACCAGCACTCATCTTGTCTCTACGTCTTCTGATTCATTAAAGAACCTCAGAAGTGAACAGAAAATCCTTTCTCCTCCTTCCCTTTCTTTCCTTTGTTATTCTGGCCTTTCTTTGCTATGGCAGGACTCCAATAACCTGTTGAACACATGGGTCAGACCGAAAGAGACTCTGACAGCGAGAGTGAAAGAGAGATGAAAATGTGGGGGTGTTTTGACGTTGCATAAAGTAAATTGGTGTAGTCCTTTGATAAGTACCAATAGAGGTTCCTACAGGTGGTAACAAAACGTCATATTAATCCCATCAGGGTAAGGAGAGAGTTGTGTTATCTTTCAACTGAATCAGGAGAACAGAGGTAAAAACAGAGATCCTCCTCTTTATATCCTCTTTTGTTGTTGTGTCTGTTTTGAAGACGAGGGCAGAATTACTGGATGACCCCGCCGAAAGAAAACAGCAGGACGACTCGCTGGAAGGAATGTGAATGAATGAGCCGTATACAAACGAGGAGGAGATCAGGAGGATTATGAGGAAGAGAGCGAGAGATTAGCAGGATGTTGGATTGATAATTGAGATCAGTAGGATTAGCAGAGATGACACAGGATAGAGGAAGAAAAAAGAAAAAGGGATGAGAGGGAGAGAGTCTAGAGCAGGAATCTCTTATCTCAATAAAAGATGTTTAAATGTCATTTCAAAATGCTTGAACACTTCTAAAATATCTGTAAAGAATCTCAATGTTGAATTAAAATGATCCATGTTGTCTCTAATATGTCAATATATAATCCCTTTCTTGTTTTTATTAGTTCTTAGGTACATTACAAGTGTATTCAATAGTTGTTTTTGGATGAAAAGCTGAAATATAACCAATGTTAACTGTCCAATACTCATCTACACAGCCCCTGAAGTCCCATAGATTCACCATCTTAGTTTACCATGTCAGCATGGTAACATCTGCCACTTAGCACAGCTGAGGATGATGGGAATGTCATCGGTTTTGAAGTAAAATATTGGACAAATTAAAATGTCAACCTGCTGGTGGTGCTACAGGAGAAGTTAAGGGGTCAACAAACTCATGAGGACTCATTATTGGATACAAAATATAATGGTAATCCATTCAATAGTTGTTGAGATATTTCAGTCTGGACCAAAGTGGTTATTCAGTGTTATTCATAGAGCCGTGTCTCTACTGTGGCTAAGAGTGAAAGTGTATTGTCAGTCAAATTCAGTGAAACCACCTGAATAACTCTTGATTCTCTTAAGCTTCAAACTTTCTGATCTGAGTAGCAGAGTCAAAATGTTGACAAAAATGTGTGTGTGTGTGTGTGTGTGTGTGTGTGTGTGTGTGTGTGTGTGTGTGTGTGCATCAGGGTGGAGAACTACACGTCAGAAAACAGCGACCTGTGGAGAAAAGTAGAAAACCTGGAGACTGCCAACAGGTGAGGCTTCTTGCACACACACACACACACACACACACACACACACACACACACACACACACACTCAGGCTGATATTAGTGTTGTTTTGCCGCTGTGTCTCTGAACAGACTGAAGCTGTTGTGCGTTGGCTCCAAACATTTATAACACAGATCCAGGATTCATGTAATGATGTTTGGATTATCATCACTGAAAACAGCAACAGGACAGCAACAAGTTTGCAAAGAATGCAGCCTGATAATGTGAGAGTTGACTGATCGGTTGCAGCAGGGCTGGAGAAACTGGTTCTCATTTATCTTGGAGAAATAACGATTATTATAACTGCGAGCCAGAAAAACGCTGCAGCCATGTGGTCTTCAAAGGACAAAAGCACTCTACTGTAGGTTATACATACTAGTATTTATGCTCTGTATGTATAAAACGTTTGGAGTATATATACAGTGAATTACACTGAGAGAATTATAGGAGAAATTTATCTGCTCCATAAGCAAAGTTTAGACTCACCCTGCTCCATTTGTCTCCTCTGTTATTATAACAATATGAAACCAATCTGCTATTATCCTGGAGTGGGTGGGTAGATGGGTGGGTGGGTGTGGTGAGATAGACGTTTGAGGGTTGAGAGGAGGGGGGGTGTCTCTACAAAGTCTGTCTGTCTGTCTGTGGCAGAGTCAGTCTGTCATTAAAGCTGCGAGTTAACAGTAGCTTTCATCATGGTAGGCAACCCCCTCCCTTCCCACCACACACACACGCACACACACACACACACACACACACTCTCTCTCTCTCTCCCTCAGATGAATATGTGAAACCACCACACAGGGGAACAATGACTTGGCACAAAGTGGGAAACATGAGTCAGCACACTCATTCTCACATAAAGTCCAGAATATGTGTGTGGGTCTTAAAAAAAAAAAAAAAAAAGGTTCTTAAACGACTGAACTAAATTTAAGCTCCTAGTTCCTAAAAATGCCCCAGATGCAGTTATTAGTGGTCATTTTGTTCTCCGTGCAGTGTTTTTTCTGTACTGCATGTCTGATTCATACAGATCCGGTTCGTGCTACTGGTTTATTAGTTGTACAAGAATAGTTTTAACTCCAATTCCATGCAGCATTAAATGTGTTTTTTAAAAAGTGTTAAATTTGTTTCGCACAAGTCTTTTTTTTTTTTTCACTGCAATTAAATCTGACCAGACACTCACTCAAACAGGGATTTTTCACAGATGTTTATTTGCTGTCAGATGAGAAGATTTATAATGATGTCAGCTCTGTGAGCCCAGTTCAGCCCAGTGGTTAAGGGTATGCTTAGCCTAGCTTAGCACAAAACATTTGAAGCAAGAGGAAAGTGCTAGCCAAGCGCCCCTAGACGTAAAAGAACTCATAACAACTCTGAGCAATGTTTGTCTCATGTTGATTTAATGCATTCATTTAATTTTTTCATTCTTGTGCTGAATATTTACATACACTTTCATTCATCCAGTCAACCAGCATGACCTTTGGAAGACACTGTATATTTTAAGCAGCAATAACTGTAGCAGTAAATTACTGTGGTTTTACATCAAAGTCCTGTGTGACTGATGCTGGTTAGTATCATCCCATGTACGTTTATTGCAGCTGGCAAAATGCTTCACTCTGGTGCACGTGACAGACCTCAGCATGGAAATTTAAAATATAACATGTAGCAGGAGACTGACTCACAGCTCCACTCATTGTCTCGTTTAATCACCAAATCTGTGATAGAATGATTAACCCGTTTAGTGTCTGGTTTAGTTTCTAACTCATCACATGACTCAATGACTTGCTGAGGGCTGGTTCGCTGTGTGCGGCAGTAACTGGTTCTCTGTCTCCACTCAGTGGTGAGAGTGTGTCCTCACAGCCCCTGACAGCTCATACCATCAGAACCCTGCTCTCCAGATCCCACTGATATACTTTATCGAAGTGTTTTACCTTGGGTACACTGTTTAACTCTACTGCTCTTTACTAACTGGCAAAACAGCAGCAGATCAGGTGGTTAAAGTTTACTGTAATCAACCCAGAGTCGAGCAGCACACAAGGGGAGAGAAACTCTCTGGAGGGACATCGTAGATTTTAGGTGAAATAAACTCTACGTCTCAGTGTGTGCGTAACTCTTCCTGTGGTTTCCAATGGCTTTACATGTGCTGAGTATACTGTACTTAGTGGTGGATGGACAGTCGAGCCATGTGTGTGAATGCACACGCTATGGACATAAACACATACTCATTAAAGAGGCAGAATCACAGGGGTGCTTCCTGCCCCGAGTTTAACCTCTCAGGCTGCTCTTCCTCTCAGACTCTGCACAAATCATCAGGCTCTAATCCCAACCTTGACCATCTGGAAATACTGAAATATAAGAATTTTAACAGGTTGAACTTCCTTGAGGTGTTGGATTCCTCCAAGTGCTCCAAGACACCTGTATTAGAAGTTCTCTGGCTGCCCTTGACTAAGGCAATAGGCTTTAAACTGCTTCCTGCTCTTTTATACTGGGGATAACTCTAACACAAAGCAGCTATTTAATATTCTTCTGTAATGTATCTGTCTTGTTCTCTCTAGGTCTCTGCTACAGCAGCTCCAGAAGCTCCAGTCATTGATTTCAGGGAAAGTTGTTCCCCGTTCTTGTAAAATGGCCTCAACTCAAACAGGGACATGCCTCATGGTAAATACTGCTGCTGTTTTAAAGTTCTTCACACAAAAAAATATATACATAATGATTATATATTGATGGGAGTGTTTTGTTCCTCTCTCTGTGCAGATGGTGGCTGTGTGTTTTGTCCTGGTGTTGGGCTCCTTCTCCCCCTGCCTCTCGCCCCTCTCCTTCCTCACTCACACCTCCTCTTTGTCCTCCACCTCTTCCTCCTCCTCTCCTCCCCCTCTTCCGTCAGCGGACCTCTACACCACCAGTCAGGGTAGGTCTAGAAATAAACCATCCCAGTGGACAGTATATGACCAGTTTGTGACGTTCAGGGCAAGATTTCAACAGCCTATAGTTCAAGACTTAAAATGCATTCCACCTCCCTATAAATTCACTTCCTTTAACCACTTCCACCACTGAAGTCAGGCGGTCATCATGTTAAATACCACTCTGTTGTGCCAAGACCCATCCTGTGAGTGGTGAGAGAAAAAGTCTGCTAGACTGTACCCAAACTGAAATTCTACAAGATGATGTCCTAAAATGTCCCCGAAGATATTCAATTTACAATAATTTAAGTCCGATAATTGAAAACCATCGCACTGAAAAAAAGCTTCGAACAGCAAATATAATGTTTGATAAATGAGTGCACACAAATGCTCTAATTCTATTTTAAAAATGTTGACATGTACAGCATGAAAACCGCTGCGTGTTTGTGTTGCAGTGCGTTCCCGCAGCCTGCTCTTCTACAATGAAGGGGCTCCACTGGAGGAGAGTTCAGTGACAGAAGGGGAGAGGCTACAGTCAGAAGCCCACTCCCACATCCAGACAAGCCGCTACACAGCTGACGCCCACAGCAACCAGACAACTGGGCCCAAGTTAGACCGGAGGTGAGAACCACACTCCACTGGTACTGTGATCTCTCTCTGTTACATATCAAACAGTATTAATTCATTTCCTCTCTTCTGTCCTCAGAGAAACAAAACCAGACGGAGTCTCAGAGTTTTTCTGACGGACCGCATGACCCCTCCTCCCATGACTTCTCACCTCTGACCCCTAAAAAAGCCAAAACCTCCGGAGTCCTGAGCTCGGCAGGCTTCATATCAACATCCAACTGGACCAAAACATACCTGTGTCTACATTACTCTGTCAGCAAGTCCATCATCATCATCATCATCATCATCATCATCATCATCATCATCATCATCATCATCATCATCATCCCTTTTAGCGAGTGACTTTCTCTGCTTCAAGACTTCACGACTCATCCTCCACAGCCGGCGTCCTGCTCGTACGTAGCGCTTCACTTCTCTGCTTCAGCAGACTCTGCTACACCTGAATACTTGATTTTAAAGGGACCTTATTATTGGAGTTTCCATTTTTATGCATTAAAATACAGAATAATTCATTGAATACCCAACTAATCCATCCATATTCAGCTTAAACAACCATACATTACATGAAAAACATGGTCATGACACACATAAAACAGCCACTCTCGCCATGTAGCAAAGAGAAAACAGTGATACATCCTGCACCTTTATACCCAAAAACATAAATATGGAAACTTGACGGACCTCCACTGTGGGATTTTGGTGTATGTCAGCACGAGGTGTTCGTACTCTAGATCCACTACATTGGATCACTGCTTTAATTTTTAACCAATCACTTACTTTATGTTAATCAAGGGCTGCAACAAACGATTATCGTGATTATCGAGTCATCTATCAGTTATTCTTTTGACTAATCAATTAATCACTTAGTCCAGAAAATGTAAAAAAAATGTGAAAAAGGCCTGTCACAGTCTCCAAGAGGTCAAAGTGACATCTTTAAATGTCTTTTTTTTCAGATTCTCACATTTGAGAAGCTAAAGACAGAATTCTTGGCATTTTTCCTTGGTGATTAATTGATTATCAGAATTGTCGCTGATTCATTTTCTGTCATCAGCTAATCGAGTAATCATTTCAGCTCTTTTAGAACAGCACATTTGAATGCAACATGAGTTGCTACAAACACATCCTGTGTAAAAGTGCCTTTCACTTGCTTCAATCAAATATGACTAACTTGGCCTTACACCTAATGTCCACACAGACGATTATAGAGGCGGAAATGTAACTCTAACTAGATTACACACTGTTTAAATCAGAGCTGGCCCTGGTCTCTTGAGGGTCTGCGTGAGGTTTCACCAATTTCCCTGGTTGTTGTTTCTTTTAACGCATCATGAACTGGATGAATGTTCAGAATCCAAACATTTTATTTCACATGCCTCTCAATGTATTTGGGGGCATCGCAGTAAAAGCTTTGTGGCAAAATCACCTTGGCTATGAGCCAGCTTTGGTTAGAACAGCTTAAAAAACCAGTTGTGTAATGGGTTTTCAGTTAGAGTTACAGTTAAACATGTAATGTGTTTTAATTTTACATTTTTAAAGTTTTAGTTTTTCATTTTCAAATTCTGACCACAACTCTATATTATTTTTGGGCAGGAAACCATATTTTCATATCCAGGGACCGTTAAAGGGGTTCTGACAGAGGTTGGGAAAGAATGACATAAAAGTATTTTTATGGAATTAAAAAATTGTATATGTAATATATTTGCAGCATCAAAAAAGAGCATATTTAATTTATGCAACAAAAAAAGAAAGAATGAAATGTTTTTAAAGTTAGTTTATCTTATTGTCTCATTTTTCTAAATAATGTTTACAAAAAAAACACAAAAATTCAACTTATAATATATTCTGAGCATCAAAAAAGGGCATATTTATTTTATGCAAAAAAAAAAAAAGGAATTGTATGTTGTGTTTTGGCATTTAGGATGATGTGAAGTTTTACATGATGGTGTGTAGTTTACATGGTGTGTCATGGATTGTAAAACTTTGACATGATCTGTTTGTGTCTTTTAACTGTAATACAGTCTTTATGTTTCACTGCTGTCGCATGAAAACCTCCGTGGATCTTTTTTATTCCCTTATGATTTAAAAATCAATTGAAAAAAATCCAATTTTACCCTGAAGCTAAAGTTCTTGACCCAAAAAGCCAAAGAAATTTATCACAAACCAACTGCAAACCTGTAAAAGTTATAATATCAGTAATGTGTAATATAAATATTTTTCTGCTATAAAAACATCTAATGACCTCGAAGCAGCAGAGGAAACATCTAAAACATTAACTAAATGAGCTCATGCGACAGCAGTGCATGTTGTATTTATTCCTGTTTGTAGAAAGTGTGTATATATTGATGAAGCCAATCAGGGGACTAAAACATTCCAGGAAGTAAAACACCGCTAGCTTTGTTCTCTCTACAATTTGAAGGAACACCAGGACATTAGAAAAAAGTTTTTATTTCTTCACCACTATTCTGACAATGTAAGAAAAATCAATGATACTCCTCAAAAAAAATGTCATGGTATTCCTTCAAATTAAAAGTTATGAAAACAGATGTTTCACTGTCCCAGTCCAAATCCTTGAGGAAACAATTACAAACTATGACCATAAAACATCCAGAAATCCTTTTTGATCTTCACAACATTACAGTTCACTAAGATTTTCTATTTTTCTTCTCTGTTCATTTCATTTTGTGTCCCTCATGCTAAGCGTACACAAAAACATCACGTGACTGCAGCCCGTTGCACAACCATCCTGTCATTCTCGCCTTTAACAGTCTTAATGCACCAGTGTACATAAATAATGACAACTTAATGTGCAGATGTTGTAAATAAAGGGCCTTGTTTTTGTATTGTGACATAGTCCAAGATTTTAACCTGTGGAATTACGTGGGAAAGGGAAAAAATAGGAGAAAAAACAGTGGATATTTGGGGAAGAAGGTGGGGAGGGATTTTAAAAAATAGCAGGGAGGGTGACTTTTTCCACTTGTAAAGAAACCTGGATGACACAGTAGCTTCACACAGTTTGAATAGTTGTACAACACCAGCAAGTGCTTGATTATTCTAACATCTCCATGAACATTTGGAGTCCAGAGAGAATAATCCAGCACTTCCCAATGAGTTCAGTTGTTTGAAATGTGTTTGGATATAATGTTGTCTTGGTTTGTTGTATAGTGTCTTGCATGTTCCTCCATATATAACTATATTATCTTAGTGTAGTCAGTAGAGTAGAAACCAGCAAAATATTAAAAAACTGCATCAGCAACACTGTGTCTGTAGAAGTTCTTGCTTTATATGTGACTTTTGTGACTTGATTTGCTCTGGTTCCAGTCTTGACATAATCTTCATCTCTTTGACGTCTCCATGAACTCGACTTGAGTCCCGAGTCCAGCCAGTGCTTTAGCTGAAGTGTTTGAGTATGAGCTGTTGTCTGAGGTCCTCTGCCTGGCTGTCGCGGTCCTCAGGTCTCTGTTCCAGGCTCTCAGGCTGCTCCAGAGGGTCGGTCCTCTCCAGGGTCCAGGCGTCTAGTCCAGACTGCAGGGAGGCGTTGTGGAGGACACAGCAGGCCAGCAGGATGGACGAGCTCCTCTCTGGAGAATACTACACGGGAGATGACAACAGAGGCCTTGATAAATATATGACACTTCTCATAATGTGAATGAAAAACTGAACCCATTTTTCAGTGTGGTTTGTAGAAATGTAAAATTGCAAAATACATTCTGCTGTATTACTGGGCAGTGACATATTTGAAACAGAATAGAACAGTGTGGAATAAAACAGACTAGAATAGAAGAGAGTACCTGTAGGTATCCTTTGGTGCCATCTAGACATCTGAATCTGGTCTGGATGGCTCTGAAGGTTCTGTCCACTATCTCATGTGTAGCAGTGTGGGCCAGATTATATCGAAACTCTGCAGGGGATTCTGGTTTGTCAACCGGGGTCATCAACCACTTCCTCAGAGGGTAACGACAGTCACCTAGGAAACAGGAAACCTCTTACCTCTGTACCAACATGTAACTCGAGTGGATTTTACAGAGTGATGCAGGAAGATTATAATCTGCATCTCACCCAGCAGCCAGCCCTTCTCTGTGTCCTGCAGCTGTTTGTGGAGAGCAGATCTTTCTAGAACATCGGTGTCTTTGAGTCCACCGGGCCAGTGGGTCTCTGCGCTGAGTAACAGTCCTCGGGCATCACAAACCAGCTGGCAGCCCACAGAGTGAAACCCCTTCTTGTTCACATACGACGAGTCTTCGCTGTTTGGAGCTTTGATGGCAACCTGGAGATCAAGAGCAAAGAACAGGGAGAAAGAGGGATCAGTCACCATCAAATACATACATAGTGATCAAAAGTGTTGATATAGTATAATACAATAAACCTGAACACAGTCCAGCACCCCCAGAACTCCTGGAAATCCTGCAACTCTCTGAAACTCCTGGAAGGACTGCTCTCTGCTGGAGGGATCCCTGTTTGGACAACTATTTCTGTTATTATGCATTTCCTCCTCTTTCTATAAAGCTTAATTTATGCTTTTTACTCTTAATATCTGTCTATATATGCAACAGCTACATATTAATACCACAGGAACAAAGGTCATCTCTGTAAACCAACTCAATAGCATGGTGTCATACCTGTTGAACATGATGAACTGAGGAGCTTTCTCCACCAGGGCTTTGGTCACATTGGACACACATCTTGACATCGAAGCCTGGCTGATCCCGATAGTATCTCCCATAGATGTCTGGAATGAGCCAGATGTGTAAAAGCCCAAAGCAGCCAATACCTGGACCTCAGGACTGATGGCTCTGGACCGCTGGGTACGTCTACATAGAGCCTAATACACAGACATAACAAGAGAAACACGATATGGTAGTTTATGCAGATCTGAGAAAGGCATACGTTTATTTTAAGTGCGCAATAAAAACTGAGGATGAGGAAATACTCACCTCTCTGAGTAATTCCACCAGAAACAGAATAAACTCTCTGGGGAAGCCAAATTGTGTGAGGAGGAAGTTATCTGAGACAGAATCCAGGTCAAAGCGGTCCAGGGTCTTATGACCTCGACCATGTAAGAGTAGATCGCAGTCCAAGATGGCTATAGGGATCGCCATGCTGTAGGTAGTTATACATTTACATTAATAAATGAGTTGGATGCATTATGAGATTCTTGTTATAATCTTATTTGGCATTTATGGTGATATATTTACATAAATACAGTCATTTCCACAAATAACAATCTGCTTCAAGGTTGTCCCGTTATGTTTTTTTTTTTTGTTTTTTTTTTACACCTATTGATACTGCAAATTCTCTATTTCTTACCTTACAAATAATATCTTTTTGCGCTGTATATTGCACATACATGTTATTGCACTTTCATTTAGTTTCATTGTATTTTGGTGCCAATATAACCTTTGCTCACTGAAGAAATGTGTGACGATATGACTTTCTAGCATGCATTTAATTGTACTGCTGTATGTTTGCATAGACATAAAATTGAGATAAACCTAGCTATCGAGCTCATTATGTCTATTACATTTAGACATATTTACCCCTTTCACTGTCGACTCTAACCTATAAAATGATAGGGTTTTGAAAACATGAAAAAACTGTTCTCATGTTTAAAAGCGTATCATCAGTAAGCAGCTAACGTAAGCTAGTTAGCTACCTAGTGTTTAAAATGTCCTAATTTCAACTTTGAGTGCCTGTGGAAACAACTCTAAGAATTCACGTAGGCAAATGGCCATAAATGAAAAAGAAGGCATTGTTCATTTATGCATTATTTAGAAAAAATCGCTTACTTTACCTAAGTCATGCAGCATTTGTCAACCAAAACAAGCCACAGGAACACCTAACATGCGTTGCGTTCGCAGATTCGACACAGAGATTGGTACCATGTCTTTTATGTATAGATGGACGTTTACAGTAAAAAAAAAAAAAAAAAAAAAAAAAAAAAAAAGCTATTAAGAATCTAGTTTGTGTTTCTCATCCGAGGTGTGGTTTGTTGTGTTTTCTAGACTGTATATATTTTAAATACGTTTAAAACAAGAATCTACGAAAGTGCCTTTGTGAAAGTGCTGCTATCCAAACACGTCGACATGGAGAAGATAAACAGACGAGTAGCACAGCCGCTGTTGACGTTGTGTACATCTGAAATGAGCGTTTAAATGTTTGTGGGACGCGGCGTTTCAAGTCACATTTGTTAACTTGGTTTTTATTTTATTGAAGCTTCATTGTCAAGGGAAACGCTAATGTAAGTGTTGCTGCTTTGTGGTGAAATTAAAGTGCGTCGTATTCAGCTAGCTAGCTAACATTAGCCAATGGCTAACGCTAGTTGTCAAGTGAGTCACCTCCCCAGTGACTCTGCTTCGCCTTTGTGAAACGCAAACGTTAAGAAATTACCGATGAAATGGCGGTATTGTAACATTTTAATGTACCAGCTGGTGTAGTGTACAGTCTAAGGTGGTTGTCAGTGTCCAACATGACCCCCAGGTCTTGTTAATTTCATGTCAACGTGGAGGCCTCACTTGCTATGGAGAATTAAAAACAATTGTGTGCAGAGTTTATGTTAATTGCTACAGGCAGCTTGTTGACGTCAAAACAATAAAATTAATCTTTAAAGTTATTGAACTTCTTGTAGAAAAAACCTAAGGAGGGAATTATAGTGTGAATATTTACACTTACTGTAGTTTACATTTATTCACCTTTTCTCATCAATAAATTATAGGATAATTTAATTTAGTACGGTTTGGATGCAGTTGCAAAACAAGCTTATGCTCATAATTTTAATAATACAATGTTTTTTTAGTTTTTCACATCTGAAAGTGGATTACAGTCATGTGGTATGTCTTCTGTCCATCTCTAACTGCCATGTTGGCTTGCAGGGTTTTGTCAACATGGACAGTGACTTAAGTCCTCAGGATAAAAAAGACTTGGACAAGTTCATTAAGTTCTTTGCCTTGAAGGTAAGAGGCTTGTATGATGGTCTTTGTCCCAGCACAGGTTTTTCCATGTGTGTGCAGATAAATATGAATCTTGCCATGTCACTGACTACAGGTTTCTAAAGGGATACTTGAAGCCTGTCATGTGTCACACTTCTTAAACCACTGGTTCATTTTTTCAATTACCACTATTTATCACTACTACACCAGAGTAACAGTGTTGTTATTACTCTGGATCATCCTGTCAGGAATTTTCATATGGATTGTTTTATGGACTGTTCAGTTTGGTTTCTCATGTCCGGTTATGTGTTTGTAGACTGTTCAGGTGATAGTCCAAGCCCGTCTTGGAGAGAAAATCTGCACTCGTTCTTCCTCATCACCTACAGGCTCTGACTGGGTAAACTAATTCCTTAATCCCGTTTTTCTATTGCAGTAATTGATTGGATTTAAACATGTCACTTATTCAGCTGTAGATATGACTGTTGGTCTTTTTGCATGTGTAAAATTTAGTCATTTTGATGTTATTTCTAGTTTAATTTGGCAATCAAAGACATCCCAGAGGTGACTCATGAAGCCAAGAAGGCACTGGCTGGTCAGCTTCCAGGCATCGGACGCTCCATGTGTGTTGAGATCTCCCTAAAGACATCGGAGGTAAAACCTTTAAGCTTTATTAAAATATCACAAGTAATTATGCCAGGTATCAGGCTTATAAACCATGAGTGGTTGGTGATTTCTTTATTGACAACAAGACACACATTAGCTATACTGCTGTGTGAGTCTGAATGCTGAAAACATGCAACATGCACAGCATTTTATGTATTTTATGAATTTCGGTCATGAGACTACTCATCTGCTCCTTTACATGTGAAAAATGAAAATGAAAATACAGTTATTATTTTAGTCCCAGTTGTTTTATGTTCCTCTGGTCATCTGTCTGTCTATTTCTGTCCCACTCAGGGTGACTCAATGGAGTTGGAGACTTGGTGCCTGGAGATGAATGAAAAGTGAGTGTGTTTTACATTGTGATTGCTCTGTTATTCAAATGGTTAAGGAATGTTTAATGAAATAAGAGATCTGTCAATGCTAGGGCGACAACTCTTTATCTGTACTACAATCAGTTGCCCCTACAATGATGCTGTAATGGTTTCTTCATCATGTGCAGCACTCGTGATGACTGCTTCTCCCTGCTAGGCTCAGTCTAATACCTACGCTATTCATACAGTTTGTTTGTGAGGGAACGGTGGAGAGGTATAAATAACACACAGACCACAGCATCAGCAGCGAGCATCAGCTGTGTTGAGTCATAAATGGGTTACTAGTGACATTTTGTAGTTTTATCACATCTCTAAAGTGCTTTTGTAATGTAGGTCATGTTGTGTGTTTGTGTTGCAGGTGTGATAAGGACATCAAGGTGTCATATACAGTATACAACCGTCTGTCTGTCCTTCTGAAGTCTCTCCTGGCCATCACCAGAGTGACACCTGCCTACAAACTGTCCAGAAAGCAGGGACATGACTATGTCATATTATACAGGTGTGTGGACGTCTCTGTCTTTGTCCTGTTAAATAGGTTTATCTGTCTTACTGTCAAGTTACACCAACTTTGATCATCTCTATTTCGTCTGCAGCTGCACTGCTTTTATTTGTGCCTTATTTTCCAAGAAAATGTTCATTCCAGATGTCTAAAGTTACATGTTTGTGTGGTTTCTGTCTCTCCAGGATTTACTTCGGGGAAGTCCAGCTGAGTGGATTAGGGGAAGGTAACTGTAAACTCAGCGTCTTGACTGACATGTCCTAAATCACTGACAGCAAGAGCCTCTAGTGGCTTTAAAGCCAGTGTGCACCAGATCATGCACTCACAATGACATATTCCTATTTTACAGTAGGCATTATACTGAGGTGTTCTTTGTACATTGTGTGCCTGTAACATTAAAAATTAACTGGACAAGAAGCAAATACATTATAAATTACACGCTAGTTGTGTTCCTATCAAAACAGCATATTTAGAATAAATGAAATAAAAGTTGCACCGAACATGTCTGAAGTGAACTGCATTAAAGTAGCTACAATGCTTTGTTTACTGAGGCTTCTTTTTGTTTTTAAGGTTTTCAGACAGTGCGTGTCGGTGTCGTTGGCACACCTGTTGGCACAGTCACACTTTCATGTGCTTACCGCACCAACCTGGCATTCATGTCTAACAGGTAACTAACACTAGTTATTGTTTGCTTATTTTAAGTGGAAACACATTTGTTAGTATTGCCTAATATTTCAGATATAAAATCTGATATATATGAAAACATTCTGTCGTCCTCTGCAGGCAGTTTGAGCGGTCAGCTCCTATCATGGGGATCATCGTGGATCACTTTGTGGACCCTCCGGGCAGCAACCTGCGTCCTGCAAATGTGGGACACCCCTGCAACTACAGGTAGCTATGCAAAGCTCTGCAGGTGAAAGTAACTGTTCATTTTATAATGAAAATGCTGATGTTGATGCCCACAACTCCACCCAGGTTTAAACAGCAACCAAAGACACAGTGCTGCAGCTGAGTCTCAGCCTCATCATAAACAATAGAGAGCTTTTAGGTGATGTAATTGCATTATCTGGAGGTCACACTGGATGCATCAGCTCTTCCTCACTTATGTCTGATTTCATTTTTTAAACATATGACGCAACTGGATCAACAGAATGAAGGAAGATTTCCTGTTGAGATTTTAGATAGAAAATAGTTTAAAAGTGTAAATCTAAGACTCAAAGTCACACATTTAGTGCACAGACCCTGTTTTTGATAAGTTTGGTCCTTAGATCTGTTCATCTCTCCATAATATTAAAAAACAGTGTATTTATTATTTAAAGATATATAATATAAAAACTTTATCAGGTAAATTATAATGAATGTGTGTGTGTCCAGAGCTCCAGATGAGGATGACGGACTATTTGCAGGAGTTCAGGATTCACAGGAGGTCTGCACCACCTCCTTCTCCACCTCCCCTCCCTCTCAGGTAGGACACACTCACTGGCTGTTCTCAGCTTTCTCTTTACCTTGTGACTTCTCTCCATTTTCATACCTGTTTTTCATTTCACTTTCTCTTTTCTCTCTTTGTCTGTTTTCTTTCCTGTTGTCCTTTTATTGTTTGTTTATCCGTGTGTGTGTGTGTGTGTGTCTGCATTATCTCAGTGTGTGTGTACACTGAGTCCTTCTCCTTCTAAACTGTCTAAGCCCCTCCCTCTGGACAGTCTGCAGCTTCCAGTGGCTCCTGGACTTGTCACTCACACTGTGAGTCTGCACCGGTCACTGTGAGAGTGTGACTGTGTGTGAGACACCCCGAAACTGCACTCAACAACTCTTTTGTTCCCTCAGATCTCTCTTTTGTTTTGGCGTGTGTGTTGCTCCTTGGTGTGTCAGAGTTGCATCAGAAACTTTTTTTTTTTTTTTTTACCCATCATCCCTTTTGACTGTGTTTTGAAGTTTCATCACTTCCTTCAGCGCAGAGCTTTATGCATCGTAGCTTCAGTTTGCTGCGAATGCTGCTCTTCACTAGACTAGTTTCATCGTAATCTTTTATCATCACATGTGCCACAGTAGTAAACCACACTCATCTTCCAGTATTACACTACAAACAATTAAACCTGAAATCCTTAATGTTTAGTGATGAATATTTCTTCTTGTCTCTGTTTCTCTCTCTCTAGCTCTACACTTCCAGGTTATCCTACCAGCCTCCAGCTCTAGCAGGAGCTGCTGATCTTTGTCACCCTGCTGCCAATCCAAACCAGGTGATGCGCATCAGTTCACTTCCCTTTGAGAGAAATAGCAGTGCCTGAATCAGTTTAGCCAATAGCACTGGCTGATGTAATCATATCTCCAAAGATCTGTTGATATTAATTTAGACAGAGTGCCTCCACCACAGAGGAGTCAGCGATAAAGATAAAATCCTCTCCTGTGAATTGCGAAAACCAAATTGGAAAAGTGGCTTGTTACGGAGCCTTGTAATCCGGCTGGGTAGCTGGAAGCGACTGGTAGTGGAGGCTTGTACTGAGGCTGAGTTGAAGTATAATTAGAGTAGATAGCAGTTTGTCAGTTTGAGGGACTAATGCAGCTATTTCTAGTTAATCCACTATAACTCTGCCCATGTTTTTCCTCTTCAGATGTTGCATGCTGGGAAGGAAGGCGGGGTTGTGTTGGTTCCTGCCCATCCTCATCATGGAGCAGATGCCCATCTGACAGTAGAGCATGCCGCCAACACACCTGGCAGCAGGTAAATTGCTCCTGACGTCTCCTGAACTCAGCATCTCTACTTCTAACTAAATGTTAAATAAGATTTTTTGTGGTTTAGTTGTTGAGTGTCATCCTGTTTGTTGTGCAAGCTCAACTAAGTGATTTCCTTTTGTTGGCCAGTTTGTGGATCATTATTTAGCTTTAGAGATGTGAACTTGTTGAAACCTGCTCTAACCCTGTCTCTTTCCTCTTCCCAGCGGTGATGATGACGGTCTGACGCAGAGTGGAGAAGGAAGGAGGGATGAAGGGAGGAGGAGTGTTTCTCCATCAGACCCCGTGGAGTCTCTCAATGCGTTCACCAGGAAAGTTGGAGCCTTTGTCAATAAACCAGTCACACAGGTAATTTCCGGCGTTTTGTATTTGACCATATCCTCACTATTGTTTTATAGTGACATTAATTAAAATGAGTACAAAGAAAACATCATCAGAATTGTCTGAGGAGACCTTGTCACGTTCGTAACAATGAAGAGTCCACTGACTTCAGCTGTGTGTGTTGTGTTTGTGTTGTGTGTGTGTGTGTGTTGTGTGTGTGTGGTGTGGTGTGTGGTGTGTGTGTGTGTGTGTGTGTGTGTGTTGTGTGTGTGTGTGTGGTGTTGGTGTGCTTTTGTGTGTGTGTGTTTTTTTCTTTTTGTGTGGTTGTGTTGTGTGTGTGTGTGTGTGTGTGTGTGTGTAGATAACGGCAGCCAGTCTTGATCTGCCATTTGCTGCATTTGCTCCTCGAGGCCTGGACTCGGAGGAGAATGACCCCATGGTAACTGTAGATCTTATTTTGATGTGTTGTCTGATAATGGAACTGACTTCCAATGCTCTCATAACAACAGAATATTTAGTTCTGCCTTGAAACTGACAACGGATAAAACTAAAAAAACATTTGGCAGATAAAGTCACAGGTTTTATTAAGATATTTTGTGTGTGTGTGTTCAGGTGCAGCCTCCAGACTCACCTGCCTGCCCGTCCCCCCTCCAGGCCAGCCTTCATTCTCAGGGCTCAGAGGGATCAGGGCAGCAGGACGATTTCGTCATGGTCGACTTTGTACGTACTTGTCGTTTAAGTCTCCTCTACCCACTCAGTACTGTCCAGGTCTTCCCTTAGAGGTGCAACAGTGTATAAAATCTATATCATCCACGATAATTCATGATATAGGGTTTGTAAAACAGGTTAACAGTACAGAATTTTTCTCAAAGATGGATACAATGTTTTGTTATTAAATGTGTTATTAAATGTGTTTGCAGCGACCCGCCTTCTCTAAAGACGACTTGCTGCCGATGGATTTGGGCACCTTCTACAGGGAGTTTCAGAACCCTCCACAACTGGCCAGCCTCTCACTACACATCAGCTCCCAGTCAATGGCCGATGACCTGGTAACATGCCTTTTTTTTGTTTTACTGTTAATGAAGTCTTTGTTTTCATGGTGTGATTCAGCAGATTCAGAGAAGGAATGTACTTTGTAACTGTGATTTGCATTTTCTCTCTGCAGGACTCGCTGCCAGAGAAACTGGCCGTCTACGAGAAAAACATAGACGAGTTTGACGCTTTTGTGGACATGCTCCAGTAGAGGAGGAGAGAGGACTACGTGTGGGAAAAGACTAAATGGATGATGGAAAAAAAAGTGAAAGTGAAAGGTAGAGGCAGACTGGAGACTCTGTAGTTGTTTGTCCTGTGAGAATCAGTCAGACTAAATCACCAAGTTTTAATGTGAAGCTCCTCATTTCTGACATTTTCCTGTTCAGCACGCTCACTTCGCTTGCCAGCTTGTACAGATAGTCCTCTTCACTGTAAATACTGTATTATTTCCTCTGACACTGGTACCCCCCCCCCCACCCTCTCATCTGATCTGGTAGTGTTAATTCAAACTGAAAATCTTTGTTTTCCCATGTGGCACACAGCTGCTCGTCATCAGTGTTTAATCAGAAAATCAGATCATGTGGTTTTCTGTCACTTTAGACAGCCATGCAATTCAAGGACAGACACAGCTTTTGTCAACTGTAGTTCACTATAATCTCTCCCACCCTGCTGAAGGTTTCCTTTACATTACAGCCCTACTGCTCATATCCGAGCTAAAGGTCAAAGATGAGTGATCTTACTCTAGAAATCAAACCTCTACTGTTTGTGTGAAGCACTTCAGAAAAGGCTTTTTCTTTAAAAGTAAAATTTTGAAAAAAAGCTGGACTTGGCAAAGAAAATTGCACTTAGCCTTACAGTGGAAGTCTTGAGTTGTAATTCAAGTGTCCAGCTTCACATAGATGAGTTTCAACAGCAAAAAATCATTAATTATTTACCCTAGCTAGGTGTTCCCAGCTGGACTGGGGATTTAAACTGCCAACTTCAATGTCAGCAAATGGGCCCATTGAATTTGAAGTGAATTTACTACAGCCCTTATATGTAGAGAAAACACATATTCCACAGTGAGTTGTGGAACTATGCTTCCTTGCCAGTTAAAGTACACTTAGCTAAAATTAATGCAACAGCCCTGCAATAAATCCTACCTTCATGAAAATTATAGTGTTCAGTTTGTGGTGCTGTTGGAGCATACAGAGGTGTTTGATATTTGTCCACCTCTGTATAATAATATAATGGCACCAAACTAAACATTAAAATCTTAATGAAAGTAGGATTTATTGCAGGACTGTTTCATTAGTTTTACCTTCCTAATAAACTAAAGTCCGTACAACATGCATATGTATATTTTTGGATTTTGTAAAGGTGGGATAAACATTTGCAGCTGTCCACAGAAGGCATCAGGTCACCATCCATGACTGTTTGGTTGAAAGCTTTAATTTAAACATTTGTTGTTGGTCTAGGTGTCCTAATAAAGCATGGCTGCTCTGTTGAAACAACTGATATCTGTCAACAAACGCCTGGTGTCTCGGGTGATCGGACAGCATTTACCAGGATGCAGCAGGCACACCGCACTGCCAATAAATACGACACACCCCAAATCTGCTCTAGTTTACTCGTTACTTTCAACTCTGTATAGCCTTTTGGGAAATACATTCATGATATGCAGCAGGTGTGTGCAAATCTGTTTCCCCCTTTGAAAAGTATTCCCTATTGTCACTATCAAATTTGAGACCAACATCTTAACATATGGGTCAGAAGTTATTTTACCAGGCCATTAGCTTAACATAGATGGGCCCGTTCCAAATCTATTTTAAATTCACCTTCCTGCACCGCTAAAGCTCACCCAGTAAACATCTCATGTTTATTCAGTCTGTAGAAAAAATGTTTTAACTGTCCAGTCACTAAGTGTCCTGTTGCCATGGAGGTCACCGGGCAACCAGCAGAACCTCCAGGAATCACTGCTCCATAAGAGGCATTGGTCTAATCCAACTCTCCTGAGAAAGTGAATGTATTTCCCAAAAACAACCCGACTATTACTTTGGGTAAATAAATAAAAATAAATCAGAACTCATTTCCCACAATTCTCAAATGGAATTTTATTGTTGTATTTTCTGAATTCCATCACATACCTGCAGGACTGCAAAGGGTCGAAAACCATAAAGTTTTAGAGTATGGTAGCACGCATTTTACGAATAGTCTACAATTCATGTTCCTCCAACTTGTCACACCCTTTGTGGTTGTGACCAACTACAGATTTCTGCACTTCTTCTCTGAGAGCCCCTTGTCCTTACCCTGCGACCTAAAAAGGGGCTGAGAACCGTTAAACATTTCACCTTCATCTTCTTCATCTTCCTGTGAACAGCTGTCTGAAAGGCTATGGAGGAAAAATGCTAAAATCAATGTCAACTCTTCCCAGACAACAATGATGTAAATTTCCTAACTATTTATATTTTCTAGAGTTAGCCACTTAAACATGCCGTTACTTTTGGAACATACCCTCTGAAGCTGTGGCAGACAGAGGCCGTTTGCCCCCCAGGTAACACTGGGAACATGGAACGAAAAGAAATAAAATAAAAATACAAAAAGAAAAAAAAAAAAAAAATTCACAGGAGACAGGCAGTGATTGCCCAGTGTGCATTTTCACCTCATTTCAATTGCTCAGTCCACTAGAATGTCCTGTCCCCATTTCCCCCCACTATGGCCCCTCTGAGCCTGACTGTCCAATGGGTTTGTGTTGGGCTACGTGGAGAATGAGTCCCTCTGGGCACATCAAGTCAAACATCAGGGAATGGTTGGAAACAAAACGTCCAGATAGAAGACATGTAACTGTGATAAGACGGGGATGATGGAGACATTCTCGTTCCCACTTCCTTGGATAGAGGGTGAAAGTCTTTGGGGTGGATGGCCAATGTCCTCCATTGTCATAAATATCCAACCTGCTCCCCCAGTCGGCTGAATGTAGGTGGAGTTATATAATAGTAGGGTGGGGGTGGTGATGGGGGTGAAGCCGGCGTCCATACACACTACAGATCAGAGCAGGAGGAAGAAGAGGGAGTGTATGGAGGAGATCCAGGAGCTCGACTTTTCTTCATGGGCTTTTTAAAGAGCGGGGAGGTGACGGGGGTTCAGGCTCAGGCAGTGTTCAGTAGGTCCTGTATGGCTTTCTGCTGCGTCTCGTTCAGTGTCGATACACACTGTGTCCATAATCCTGCCGACACCTGGAGGTACAACAAAAAGATCAACGATAAAACAATCTGGTGTGACTGCAGCTAAAACATATTTTAGGCTATCTTACTAATGGATTCATTCAGTTATTTATCCAAACCCAGATGAAGTTTCCTGGCACGGTGACAAAGTGATGACTCACCTGTACTTGACGGATGACATTTGCGAGCCGTTTGCTGCAGGCGTCTTCACTCTTGACTGATTCATTTGCAACTCCGTCTGCGATGATGAGGAAGATTTTGGGAAGGTTGGAGTTGTCTGGCCCCAGGACAATCGGGTTGTTGCTGTGGAGAGAAGATAATAGTCAGCAGGAGAGAACAACACAATTTCCAACACAATTACTGCAGAAAAGTTTGGGGGTTACCTCTCAATGAGGTCACACAGAAAATCAAATGTGTGGACGGCCTCCTCTTTGTCCTCGTTGAGCGGTAGCCAGCTGAGCCAATGAGGAAGGATCTCATTGACATTAACGCACTCTGGCCGAAACCTCATAACCTTTCCAACAGCAGAAATGCAGTTTTCTGTGGCGTTGACGTTTTCCTTGGAGCGTGAGTCGGCTGCCTGGATGACTCTGACCAGCAGGGGGATGGCCTCTGAAACAAGGAAACACAAACACATCATCGAGTTATCAACTAGAAGCAATAACCTGCCTGACATCATCACAGGTGAAGACCAATGCCAGGTTGTACCTGTACAGAATGGGCGGTAGTTTTCTCCTCCATACTGAGCCATGACACCGACACCATAGGCGGCTGCCTGCCGAACCTCAGGGCTCGTGTCACACAGTGACTGCAACATCGGCCGCAAGAAATACTCTGCGTATTTGAAGGAGGAGGGGCTGCAGTGCTCCACCACGTCGTCAAAGATACACAGACCCCACTGTCTGTCCGCCCACGGCCTGTTGGGACACTAGACACAAGCAGGGCAGTCCAAATTAGTTACTGTTGATCTCACTCAGTATATGATGCGTCACATGATAGTTCAACAACCCCTCAACCTGCAGGCTGAAATACTATTGAAATGAATAAATACTCTCAGCTTTCTGTGAAGTGGCCACTGACAGATTCATTCATTGGTTGCTGATGAGGAACAGTTACTTACTATTAGCTGGACAATGAGCTGCAGCAGCTGTTCGAACCAAGGCAGCACCTTCTCCTTGTAACTACTGAACACTGAGTGCAGGATGTCTGACACTTTGGTCAGGATGTACACATCATTCTCATCCTGAGGGTGACAAGAGGAAAACAAATGAGGGACGTTACTGTCTTACATCATCATTAGCTCAAGATTGGATCTTAAGTGGCATTTATTAAACAAAACGACCTCCAGGTTTGTCCTTTACTAAAATGAAAATATTTACCTCGTCTTGTAATGTTTCCTCCACCTGCTCATCATAGTCTTCATCCTGTCTCTTGGCTGTGAAGGACACAAAGTGTTCATGTGAGGATTATACGGCATTACCAATTCATAAAAAGGTGCAAACAGACAAAAGGGAAGACAATGTTGACAAATTGATCTGCATTTCATTGTTTTTGTGGTTGTGATGAAGCCTCACCCTGTCTGAGCTCCTGGTTCTTGAAATGCTCCTCCAGTTTTCCTTTTAGGATGCCACCTAGCTCCTCAAAATGCTCATTGTTCAGACACCCGTCACCCATCAACTCAATACACTAACAGAAAACAAACTCCCATCAGTCCGATCAGAAAATGGACATGGTTCCTTCGTCTTTTGAAAACGTTCAAATAAATTTCACAAAGGCACTAAAGACTTGTTATAGTGCTGAAGTTACCTTGGCAAAAGAGTGCATGATTTCTGAGAGGACATCTGAGTCCGGCTCGGTGCCGATGGCCTTGATGAGAGCGTCGCACATGAAGTGCCACATCTGGGTGAGGTACTCTGGTCCTCGCACCCTTGCACACTCCAGCAGCAGGGGCATGGACTCAGCTGCTGCCACCCTGACACGTGAGACAGTTAAGGAAATGCCAAAAACAAGTCTGGTGTTCTGATGAACAATTCATTTAATCAATCAACAAAGTAATAAAATATATTTTAGATGTCAGACTGGAATCCCTCGTCAGTTTTGGCCATCAATCGTACTGTTGTTCGCTGACTATAAGGAAAGGATATCATCATGGAAGTAGAACTTGAGAAGAGGAACCATCAGCTTCACCACCTGCTCCGTGTACTCCACAAAACCCTCCTTCAGCTCTTTGGCATAACACACCTGGAAAACACCACAGATCATTTTACTAACAGGGCTGAACACTGTCAACAACATTGCTATCTAGATACAGGTAAAGATAAACAATGGATTTACATCAGTGCTCCCATCTGGTGCTTTACCGTATCTGCTTCAGGGTCCCCTCAGGATCCTAGTTTTACAGAATCAGTCATATGTCTGTGCTCTTCTACTCACCAGCATCTGGCATGCAGTGGCCTTCTCCTCCAGGCCGGCCGTCTTGATGCCAAAACTCTGCTGGTCTCCCAGGTTGACAAACTCCCAGCCGTCATCCTCTGATATGTTCTCCATGTCTTGGGCTACAACACAGAAACACATTTTCAAGTACTGCGTCTTTCATCTTGTTAAAAGTGTTAAAATGTCTGTAGCAACAAAAGTAGAGGTGTAAAACAGCAGGAAGACGAGGGGGACAGAGTGAAGCGAGTCTCCTCATCCTCATCTGGTGAACGTCTGAGCTCCCTTTTAAATTATCTGCAGACAAGTTGGGTGTCCACAGTGCACAGCTGAAAGTGTTGCTTACTGTCGAGGAGGGCCACCTCAGGCTTGATGGAGGCCGTCTTCATCAGTGGGCCCATCACCACAGGCAGATACTGCTGGAACTCCTTCCCCAGGATCTTGCACATCCTGGCCCAGGCTGAGATCATGTATGAGATCTAAACCACGCAAACAAAAAATTGTGACAGGTTCACTGCACAGAAATAGAAATAAAGAAAACTGGATAGTTCAAAGGTCGTCCAAGTCATCCTACCTGAGGATCGTCATCTTCCAGGTCATTGAAGTCTGTCTGGGTTTTGAGGAGCAGCTGCATGACGGCAGAGGCGTCTGGCATGAACTAGGGGCAGAACAAAGAAAGGGATGGGTCCTGCAAAGATCCTTTAATGGGAAGATCTCAGTGGACAGTTTGATCACATGCTACACAGACGTACCTTCTCCTTGCCGACAGCCAGGCCGATGAGGCTGATGCACTCTATGGTCTTGCCGCGAAGCAGCCGCAGCTCCTTCTGCACTGCGTTTTCTACAATGTGCTTGAGCGAA